TAATACATTATTATTTAATACTCTTAGTTATTTCAGCAGATTGAAATGAATTCAAGTAGAGAATAGTCTAATAATGACGACACGTACTATAGTATAATTAACCCCTTGCACTCGGCGATATTCTCGTTACAGAGATATAGTAATTCGAAGACTTCCTGCCATAAAGTCGACGACATTTTCAAAACGGCAATTAAGCAGTGCAAATTAATTGTAAGACATAAAATTATTTTACCTCGATATTCCACGTGTCGTTGGACAATTTTAAATTCCAGATATTAATTAATAATGATCTCCAGAATTTGATTAAATGGTGACTGAGAGTCGCCTCTCAAGTGCAAAGGGTTAACACGATGTATATTAGAGAAAAGAAATGTTACGGATATTGTCACCGTGTGGCGTTCCGATCGCCCAGTGACTAGGTTACGTCTTTGGTGTTTATAACTAAGGCAGGAGATTAGAATCCCAACAAGAATAGTATATAAATATATAGTACATCGTCACTAGGTCGTTCTTGATTGACGATGATTAGTGACGGACTGTTCTTTGAGGAGATTGTGTACAACTTCGAATAAATGCTACCAGGTCTAGCATTTATATGAACCCTTGGTAGGGCTATGTATTTTGCTATTGGATAATGGAGTTTCCAAATTTGAGGTGCAAAAGTTAGGGTTACAAACGGTTTGTCAGAAAAAGGAACTAAATTATTGTCCCATACTCCAGATATTTAGTGTATACGATGACCAAGCGTCAATGTGTCATAGTGTTTTATCTGGGGTACGGAGTAAGCAATATGGTATTTGCTAATGAGAATAATAATACCGCTGGAAACGGTATTTCCAGAATTAACATATATATATATAAAAAGTAAGTGTCACGTCTTCGGATGGTCGCGAACCGAGGCTCGTAGGTCTGGTTCGTAACCGTAGCCGTCCGCACAGCTCGTAAAAGATGTTATAAAATTCCAGGAGGGAGTTATGCGTGTGTCTAAAAAGCGTTATTAGGTCGACTTTATAGCGGCAGCCCGACTCTGGGCGAAGGAAGTTCCCGGCCGTTTCTTTAAACTTACTTTCGGCGTGCTCGCCTGTGCAAACGTGTTCGCAAACTCAATCGGGAATTCTCAATGCACAGTAGACACCTTTAAGGAGAAATTGGCGTGCCGTTGAAGCCTCTTAGCGCGTCTACGTGCCCCGATGAATCGGGGCTTTCTTAAATATCGTCGGACGTCAGTCGTCTGCTAAGTCTATGGAGCTCGAACAGTTTTGAATCGTAGAAAATTCACCAACCTGTACAAATGGCGGCAATAGTAACCCTAAATGGGTACTTATTTAGCCTAACTGCGATTTTATATCTTTATTCGGATTGGTAATAATAATTTAATATAACACTGCTAATAATTGATATTTGATCTTCAGAAGATCCATATGAGGTAGCTATTGGTGATAAAGCTTATAAAGGAAGTTCTTTGTATTTGTTGAACAATCTGTCAGTAGTAGTAGTGTTGCATGACAGAGTATGAACGAGAGAACAACGAAATTTGATTAGAAAATGATTTGTAATTGATTATACATTTGGATAAAGTATTATAAGTTAGGTATTCTATATGTCTGACAAAAAGACTCTTGGAAGGAATGCAGATCTAATTGATCAGAGTAGAAGAATTAACACATAGTTTTGTTTGTAACCAAACTATTGGCCAAAATAGTTGCATATACCAGTAGAAGTGTGCGGTACAGTATGTGGATGAGATCGACAGGTGGCGCGACTGAGTTACTGCTCTTATCCATATGCCGATACGAGAAACTTCGTGCAAGGCACACTATGATCGTCTGTAATTATTTGATCGTGTATGTAACTCTGTCTGCAGTGAAAGAAAGAGAATAGGTTTACTTTTAAGGTTAGATTATGGAATATCCGAGAGACATTAATTATTGCAAAAATTTACTTGGAAAATCCTATAAATTAGCTATTCTTTAACTCGTTAAAAGATTCCACATCAAATTCTTTTAAATTTTGAAATTCATTACTGACAAATAGTGTCAGAATTATGACAATGAATAGAAAGGACATGTCATAGGTTTAAAACAAAAGAGGTTTGAGCAATATTGAACAAGGATCAAACTAATTCACTTCTCACTTGATTTCTTTGCTCATTTTTAATACGTTACAAAGAAACACACTCAAAGAATGGAATATAAAGTAACGATAGAAATTGATTGTACATCAAAGGGATTCAGATTAGACACTTTTCACACCTTAGTCTTATAAATCCTCAAAATCTTGGTTCCCTTTGTTCTTAAACACCCTGTATAATCTCATTAGCAACCCAAAAGAACTCGTTAAAAGGTTCAGCACCTGACTTTACTACTTACTTTCGCTAAAAAGAGAAAAACTCTGGATCAGACCCTTAAAGATTCAAAGGGACTCGACTTCGTAATTCCATTAAAAAGAGAGGATCCCAAAATTGTAGCCAAGAAGCGTTTCCCACAAAGCATGCAGCCATTACCCAAACTGAAGGAAGATGGATGAATTTTTCGGAAATTCATGAGATTCAATTTCGCGATTTGAAGGAGCGGCACGTTTGCGTATTTGCGAAAAGCAACGAATAGGAAAGATAACGGGCGTAATGGTGGTGCAACTTCAATGACATAGCAATATTTTATACGGGCCTTTTATCATGGCGAACGAGGCCGGCATGGAAGAGTTACGAGCACGGGACGCTCTTGTTCTAACATTTATATTGCTCCGCGGTAATTGTCTTTTTAACTTCCGCAGTGGCGGAGTTCACGAGGCGACAGGGTCCAGGAGAGGACGCTGTGCAATTTCGCAGCCGGTTTGCGAGGATACAGGACACGTTTAAACATTTCCCCGATGGCTGACTACCAGAGCGAGGGGAACCACTTAAGGCCAGTCCACGCTTGACGCGTGTCAATGACGTGTGTCATTGCTTGCACGTACACCGCGTACGTGGCCGACGTGAGAACCTGCGGGTATCAAAAAAGGTGCCATTGTTCAGGTTCCTCTGGAAAAAGTTTCCCAGCAAAGAATTTTTCATCTCCTTTTATTCGCACGCATAGAGTGCGAGTGATTAAAATACAAAATAATATTGACATAGGAATTTCTGATTTTGAGTCTTTCATTTGGACAATTCTTTCTTATCGCAGTTTAGAATTAATCCTTGGGCAAACAGAAATGCACCTATCATTTAATACACGTATTATTGTGTTTGTTAAGAGTAACGCAAGTTTCATTTTCTGAAAGTAGATTTCTCTACTACAGTGGACACTCCAAGGATCAATAAATGTCTTTTACGATATTTGCTTCGAAAATCCCAGTTGTTTATTTTGTAAATTTCGACTGCACTTCTTGGTACACGTTGCTTCTAGAATACGTGTACGATGTATGACTTGTCAATGGATAATATTTATAAACGTGGAAAGACAGATTTACAATAATTCAACTGTGTGTACAGTTACATTTCCCGAAATGAAATTAGCTTTTGCAAAAATTATTTATCAATGTACAGTCTATACTTACTGACAAAAATTGAAAAACAAAATAACAAATTGCAAATTTCCATATATTCCTCATCTTCTGAGATACATGAACAAAAATAGAAGATTTATACATGACAGCTCATAAAAAAATTTTTGTTTATTACCATGTTTGTATAGAGTGTTATCTTCTCACCCTGTTTTTTAACCTAAGAATATACAAAAAGCGGCAAATTATTATTTTGTTTCATAATATTTGACAGCACCCGTAAGTATATAACGAAAATCTAACGAGTGGTGAACATGTTAACACAATAATTCATCTGTTTACATAGATATAGTTCCCAAAATAGAGATAACTTCGATAAAAGAATTATTTAACACTAGGTTTACGGACGCCATCTGTATACCTATTTCTAAGGACACCTGTCAAATTGACAGGTAAAGGAAACCACGTGCCTCTCTTCCTAACGATTAGTTTAATTTAAAAACAATTATATATTATATCAACAGTCTTGATATAAGTTAACTAAATCTGTTACCATCGTATAATTGGAGCAACCCTGCCGTCAAATTGACGGGTTCCGTAAATCTAGTGTGAACAGTGTACAGTCTCATCGACAAAAATTAAAAAACAAAGTAACAAATTGCAAATTTCTATATATTCTTTATCTCCCGAGATACGTAAACAAAACTAAAAAATTTACAAAGGATAGCCTAAAGTAAAATTTTCGTTTATAACTGTACAAGGGTTATCCCCTCATTCTACTTTTTAACACTAGATTTAGGGAACCCGTCACTTTGACGGAAGGGTTGCTCCATATACGATGGTAACCGAATACGATAGTAACCGATATAGTTAACTTATATTAAGACTGTTAATATAATATATAATTGTTTTTAAATTAAAAAAGAATTAATAAAAAATTGATAAAAAAACTCGTGGTTTTCTTTATCTGTCAATTTGACAGGTGTCCTTAGAAATAGGTATGCAGATGGCGTCCGTAAATCTAGTGTTAAGCTAAGAATATTCAAAAGCTCGTAAATAGTTACTTTCTTTGAGAATATTTGGCACTAGCTATAAAGTACACAACGAAAATCTGGCGAGTAGCGAGCGTGTAAACTTAACGCTCGATCAGCTCTTACGCCGGAGCACTCGTTTCCACGAGAAATTACCGGAATCTTCGGAACCGGCACACAAATCTCCCCGACACAGAAACGCTCTATTCCTGCGGCGCGAGTCTCGTAGCCGCAGCATCCTAACTCATCATCAAACCTTCTCCCTTGTTACAAGCATCCCGTGGCGCGTTGCTTTTCGAAAAACTGCGCCGGAAAAGGCACTCCGTCCTTTGTCGCGAGCGTTGCCTCTCCCGAAGCATTGTGCGAGCGTGACTGGCAGGGAGGGGGGTGGCGAGTCCTGGGTAGTGCGCATGCGCGCCACTCGGGGTTGGTCGCGTTGCCTGCCGAGTCTTGGACCCGGCGTCGTCGGCAGTTATCGGCGAACCGCGATTCGATCCTCGTCGCTCCGAGCCGCGCCAGTGACGAGATGTAACGCGCCCGACGTCGTTCGCACACGAACACACGGCAGTCTAGAAACGTGGTGCGACTCCGTTCACCCTGTACACGCGTGTTGGCTCGCCAACTATTTCCCGTGGTGAGACGAAACCCTGGATTCCGAGGCATCTCGATAGTTCATCGCGGAGGTGTAGTGTGTGTTACGACGGATCCTTTCTATTTTCTTTTCTTTTTTCTTTTGCCGTGTTTTTTACATTGGTGACCAGGACATCGATACGACTCCCCAGAATCGTGTGGTGCAGTCGACAAGGCGACCAGCAGTTAGGTATGTCTATTCATGGTTACTCACGGTGATGGTGAACGTATACACGATCGCCCATGGAATTTCTATCGTGTTTTCGATATCCCGGATCGAAAAATTGACAAGACGTGCGGGAGATTGCTCATCGAAGGGGTTGGTCGGGGAAAAGCGTGACTGTAGATGACAGAGAATAGGTGTGATGTTCGAGTACCAGGTTTTTAAATGCACCCCAGGGGTCTACGAGTTTAGGAGTCGATTTGTTATCAAGCAGTCACAGAGTGCGCAATGATTAGCTCCGTTTCATCCATACAGACAATTGTTGCGAGCGTTCTTAATCAGGACGCTTAATTCCGCCGGCGGAATGGCTTTAACCTTCGCGTCGGTCCTTGAACTCGATCGAAACCAAGCATTGTTTACTCTCTCAATTCACGTACATTCCACCTAGGTCTGGTCTCGGTCTCCACCGAAACACTCGCCGAAATTTCTTCCAGCCACGAATTCGCTCATCCCCTCGGTCACACTCGACCGCACAAAAACAGACCCAACGTGCGTCATCGAGACACCTCTCTGTCCAAGGTGAAACATGCCGAGTCACGAAGACACCTGTGTTACCACGACGAGCCGTGGATCAAGCTCGTCGTTACTCCGAAAGGTCGTTGAACCTTGCCATCCAAGGCTAACTTGGGCATCGTAAACATCAGCTAACCTGTTCCTCCTGGAACACGCGTATTCTAGGAAGGGGAGGGATAATATCAGGTGGCCTTCGAACACTTACCGGTAGATTTACGCGGTCGGTAGCCGACACGTCGATTGCAGGCTCGTTAGCTCTGAACATTATTGTTCTAAGGGGAGCACTAATTATGAGGGGTGATATTTGCCGGTATTCCGTGGGAGAGAGCCGATGAACGCTAATGTTTCGAGCGTGTTCCTGGCGCCGCGTGTGCAGTCGAACGGGGGCGCATAGTTCGCGAGATATAGGCGAGTTGTGGCATCGGTATGGCTGATATTACCAGCCGGTAATGTACTGGCCGTCCCGTGCGCCGCGGCATTTCTCAAAACTTTGAAGCGGTCTGTGGTTACAGTTTGAATTGCTTCATTAGATCTTACTTGTACGGAACTAAAGCCATCCGGTTCAATCCCGATGCAACGTTTCCACCTCTTCCCGTCTTTCCCTGTCTGTCTGGCTGCCTCCCTTTGTTACATTTTCACCGGCATCGGTTTCGCTTTTCCAACGGCAAAGGGCTCTCCCCGTTCCTGCTTACCGGATCATGCACACTAGGTGTCCCTGGAAAGGAGGGTAAGGAGGGTCTTAGCAAGGGGTACATGGTGCGAACACCTGTCTTCCAGATTCGTTCCCGATGAATGCACACGTGACTTTGAATCGCACTTTTCGCCAGTTCGACGAACATTTTGATGCTTTACAGTCGTGCCAATTTTAATAAGAAATAGGAATGCAGGGATAAGGGGTTGCACCTTTTCATAATAACGCGTGGAATTTACTTATCCTTTGGTAGAAAATAAAAATAATAATTTATTTTTAAAATGTAAGAATTTTGCAAATTTACGATAGCTTGGAATTATTATTTTGGTTTTATTTGAATATATAGAAAATTAGGAATAATAGTAGCAAGATATAGCTATGCAAAATGATCGAAATTTTGAAATACTTTTAACATCGTGCAAAAATTTTAGGTTACAAAGGACGAAAGATGTTTCTCTCATTTCGAAGTTCATTTTCCATAAAACAAATCGTCCCTTTCGTATCAGTGATAACAAAGGTCCGTTACTGTGTTTGTCAGTGTGCGTGTAAGCGGAGGGGTGGAATTTAGAAAAATGTCGAAGTCCCTTTGACTGACTCGGAGATGGTGCACGGTAATCGGGCGACGTTTATTATTGGAACGAGACGGAAGGGAAATATGGAAACGGACCGTGAAGAAAGCTGGCTAACGTTTCCGGTCGCCGGAATGAACTTTCATTACGAATTCAGCTTTTCGAGCAATTTTCATGAGAACGCCACGAAAGGACCTCTTTCTCCCCTTTTACCCCCTCTCTTATCCTCGCCCTTTCAGCCGGCATTCGATGTAGCGTGAATGCTGATCGTACAGGCTACTCTCCGTGTGGCGAAATTAGTTCTTGAAAAAGATTAGCATTTATTAATATTCATCGCGAATTGTTCATTAGAAGCCATTCTTAAAACACTGGCATAGAAACCACCATTCGTACAGCCTGCGTTATCGACGTATTCTGGATCGTGTTCGCTTAATCCTCTGGCATGTTTTGTGCTGGTATCTAGATCTTGCTCGTTCCACTTGGCGTGTCTGGGGTGTTTCGAGTGATTGCCTTGATGCATCGGTTTTAATTGAATTTTTTTTAATGTAAGTTTCATATGCTTCGAGATATCTTCGATACAGGTGATCGTTTTGACGCTATGAAATAAGCGTGAATAATTTCTCGAGATATTTCTGTTGGCATTTTTAGCGTGGGATATTAACCCTTTGCACTATTTATTTATATTTTTTGGCTAGAGAAGAGTAGAAATTCAAAGATTCTCTACTAAAAAATTGACGATACTTTTTACAGCGTGGGATATTAACCCTTTGCACTATTTATTTATATTTTTTGGCTAGAGAGGAGTAGAAATTCAAAGATTCTCTACTAAAAAATTGACGATACTTTTTTGAGCAGTAAATAAATAATTGTATAATAATAGAATTGCAGAATTATTTGATTTCGATACTTCGCATACTGTTACGTTACATTAAATTTGCTATATTAATTAATATCGATCTTCCAAATTTTATGAAACCGTGACTGAAGGTTCCTTTTCGAGTGCAAAGGTTAATATATTTGATTATTTACTTTAAACTGCCACTCTCTGCTTATAACGTTTACTTTTAACCCTCTCTGATAACTCCCTCTCGGAGGTCAGAAGACAAGTGAAGTACGGAAGACCTGGGAGCCGTTAGGTTTACAGGACCCACATTAACTTAAAGTAACAATAAATGTCGCGATTACTTGTTACAATTTCCAAGAAATTTTGTTAAAGATTTTATATAAGATCGTGTGTGGGACGATTTAGGTGTTGATTGAAGAATACAAAAATTTAGAGGAGGATCTCTCTAGCTGAAAAATTGGCAGAACTATTTCTAAATCAATTCTGAAACATTTTGTAGATGATTTTATAAGATTCTATTCCAACCTGTAACATTCAAGAAGAAAATTTAATACTTCTTTATCTACTTTCATTTCTTCTCAGTTTTCCAATCCTTTTACCTAAATTATTTTTATTAACACTTTAATGGCTGCACGTTTAATTTATCAAACGTTGCCAGAGATAGGCAATATTTTTGAAAAATTAATTTAAAAAAACTCTATTTAAAATTCACGAAGCAATACAACATGTGCGAACATACATATAAAACAAGAAACAATCACAATTTAACAACACATTTAATAAATTATTAATCAGCAGTAGCATCACACACGTGTTGTGCGAGCGGCCATTAAAGTGTTAATATTTTGAGATACATTTTTGAAAGATTTTGTGAAAATTGTTGATCGAATAATTTTGTTAATGAAATCTAGTTGATTTAGATAAATTTTAAGCGTCTTTTATTCTTAATACGTCCAATTAAATATTTTCCAACAATTTTAGTCGAATTTTTCGATGAGGGCTGTAAAACATTTGAAGGAGGACAATATTCGGTTTATTCTTGTCATGGGTTGGAATGTATATACGTCGTTAATGGCAAACAGAGAGGTCAATACGCGAACTAATTGAAAAATAATTTGTTTTTCAATTCTGTATCGTTATTCGCGAAGCGGCGGTGTTTTAATTGGAATTGAAAAGTCGTCTGTGTTTCCATGCCATTAATTACTCGGCTTCCTTTGATTTGCTGTTCCCCATCTTCGATATTAATTTCCAATAAAAATGTTTGCACCGGGACACAAATATGTATTCTCGTAAAGTGTATCACTTCGTAATAGATTAATTCTCGTTCAATAAATACGTACAGGATATAACGTTAAACGTTTATACTGATCGGTCAATTCCACATGAAATCAACATTCGTTATACGAAATAGCACAATCGCTTTAATTTCAATTTTAAAGATCCCGAAGAAAATGGAATTTCACAGTTCATCGTATCTTACCTTCGGAAGTATTTTTCTTAATCCTGATCAAATTTATTGAATTCTTATAAATATTACTAATCATTGCAAATTCATTTAGCGAAGGTGCAGAAATTAAATTGAAACGTTAGCTTAAATTTAAATTGAATTCAAATTCAAATATTGAAATGGAAACTAAATCTGAAAAATTGAAGTCTAAAATAGCATAAATCGAATTGAACTTAGGTCAAAAACTGAACATCAATGTCTATTAACCCTTTGCACTCGACGATCTTTTGGCTAGAGAAGAATAGAAATTCAAAAATTCTCTACTAGAAAACTGACGACACTATTTGAGCAGTAAATAAAGAATTATATAATAACAGAATTGTAGAATTATTTCGATACCTCGCACACTGTTACATTACATTAAATTTGATACATTAACCCTTGAACTCGACGACATTTTTGTTAGAAAAAAATAGTAATTCGAAGACCTCCTGTCACAGAGTCGACGATATTTCTAAAATGGTGAATGAAGAATCATATGCAAATTAAGACGTAGAATTATTATTCTTCGACATTCCACGCATCGTTAGATAATTTTAAATTTGATATATTAATTAACGTCGATCTTTAGAATCTGATTAAATGGTGACTGAGAGTCACCTCTCGAGTGCAAAGGGTTAATGAATATCGATGTTCCAAATTTTATGAAACAATGACCGAAGTTCACCTCTCGAGTGCAAAAGGTTAACGATGAAATCACCTTATTCGATCCTCGTTTAAATAAAAGCTCGAACCTAGAAAATATAAAAGAAAAAGATACGTCGCAGAAGAACAGGACTCGAGTCAAAATTCCGTCAGTTCCATCTTCATTACTTGCCACCTTAAATTCTTCACCCCCTATGA